GGTCGGGGGGGAGAGAGCGGGGTACCGTACCGCTATGGCCGATTGGTGACACCGGATTGGTGAAAATCACCAATCCAGTAGCAAAGGATAATCCGGGCTGGGATTGAGCGGCGGCCATCACCAATCCCTGTACGTTTTGGATCCAGGTCGGGTGCCGGACCGCGCGCGCGCGCGATGCTGTATGCGACGGCGTGCATCTAGAAACGTTTACATGCGACTGCAGATTGGTTGATGTGGGCCTGGGGCGCCTCGGAGGGCCCACAGTGAACGGGGGGCAGTCCGGTTGGCGGCTTTCACCAATTCGGTGGCAATGGGAAAAAGTGGACGGGGTAACACCAAACCGTATCACCAATTCCGGTGTTGGAAAGATTAATTCTAAAAGCGTTTTTTACTTTCACCAATCCAGAAATCACCAATCGGCCATAGCGGTACGGTATTACTTTGCTGGCTGGCGGGTGCTGTCCGGGGGGTGAGCTGAGGGTGGTGGTGGTGGGGATGGGCGGGTGGATTCTGCCCTCTCCACCCTTGTCCACTTGCGCGGTTGAGTCGGGTGTAATTGTGTTCTGCACGTCGTCCCCCCCTCACCCTCTCCGTCCTTTTCCCCCATGTCTCCCCCCCTTCCCCAGATATCCGACATCGGGCTGGTGGTGGTGGATGAGGCTCATCACTGTCGGGAACAACACCCTTATGCCGTACTGATGAGGGAGTTCATCGGTCGACAGTCCCCGGCTCCTGCGCTGCCGCCAGCACCCTCGGCGGGAGGCGAGGCGGCCAGGAGGTACGGCAGCGGCGGCGGCAGCAGCGGGGGCGGCAGCGGTGTCGTCAGCTGCGGTAGCGGAGCCGCCAGTACGGCGGATGAGGGGGAGCCGGACCGGCCCGCCAAGCCACCGTCACGTCCTAGGGTTTTAGGACTGACAGCCTCACCCCTCACCCCCATGGACCTCCAGGTAGGGGTGTATGTATGTATGTATGTATGTATGCATGCATGTGGGGTATTCTGGGTGATGGTTGGAAAGCAAAGGTCGCTTAAGTTGTCTCAACCTTTTCGACATTGTATATGATTCGTACATATGCCGTACTAGGGTTACTTTTGCTCAACAGGAGGGTTTGTCCTGGCGGCTCTTACCGGGGTTGCGTGTTACGCGCTCCTCCGGGGTGGGAGCTGTCCCCCTCCTTCTTGGCAGTTGGTTTTCAGTTGGTATTGCCGTTACAGATAACTCCCGCTATTTCTCTTTCCTCCCCCCCCCCCCGCCCCGTTTGATACTCTCTTGCGTACGTTTGATACTCTCTTGCCCTGGCAGCAGCTTCAATCGTGTGTGGTTCGTCTTTCTCCCCCCGGCCCCCCCGCCCCGCCCCGACATCCCTCCCTCCCCCACAACCCCCTTCAGAGCAACCTGTGTGGCGGTCGACTGATCACCCCGCTGGACCGGGGGCCCCCAGTGGGGGAGTCCACTAGGCCTAGGGTAGGTACGGCAGGGGAGGTGGGGGTATTGGCCAGGTACCTCCGTACAGGGTGAGGCGGGATGTGTTGGCTGGTTGGGTCGTGGAGTGTATGCATGTATGTATGTACGCATACATGCATAGGTACCTTTCCCTACCTACTATTACCTTGGACTTCTCCAGCATGTGTGTTTGTGTGTCGGTTCAGTTGAACCCCCCCGCGTTTGATTTCTTCTCTCTTCTCCCCCCCCCGCCCCCCCGGCCCCACACACCCCCCCGTGTGTACTGCAGGCCAAGATATGTTGGGTGGGTGCCGGTACCGACCTGGCTCCCCCGCCCCCGCTACCCCTGAATTCCAACCCAGATCCCGTGGACCCGCAGCAGGCGGTACGGGAACATCAGGTACGACATCCTTTCTAGGGTACGACACACCGTTAAGTATGCCTCTTATGCTTCAAGTCCCCTTCCTGGACGGCTTCCGGCAGTTCGTTTCTGTCTTCCTCGCAAGTGCAAGTGAACTCCCCCCCTTTACCCCCTTACCCCCCTGCCACCAGGCCGCCTCCGAGTTGCTCTCTCAGCAATCCCAGCTGCTCGTCCAGGGACTGGCCTTCAGTCGGGGGCTGCTGCAGCTGGCGGAGAAGGTGCTGGCGCGGCGGGACAAGCTGCAGCGGCTGCAGCACCTGGGGGAGATCGGCCTGGAGCAGCTGGGGCTGTCGAGTGGGTGCGGGGGCTGGGGGGGAGGGGAGGGGAGGGGCAGGGAAATGGCGGCGCAGCACTGGGCGAGTGGGTTCGTGTTAAGATGGCGGTGGTTGGGAATCCCGGAGGGGGGGGTTGCAGGTGGGCAAGGTGCAGTACGGTAGTGTGTATGTACGGGAAAAGCCCCGGGATATAGCTCTGGTTTGTCGGTCCTCGTTGGAGAGCTTGACCCCCAACCCCCCGCTGGCTCCCCCTTGTGCGTATGTACGTATGTATCACCCCTCTCTCTCCCCCCCTTGCCCCGCCCCACACGAGATGCAAATCGTCCCCCCTCCCCCCGTGTCCCCTCCCCCCCCCCAATACACACACACACGCCCCTCTGCCACCACCAGATGAGACGGTCCCGGCCGCCCTGCAGTCGGCCCTCCTGGGGGTGGGCCCGGGCAGCAGTGGCAGGAACGAGTACGACGCCTCCCTCCGGGATATCCGCATTATGAAGTCCCAGGTGGGTGGGCCGGGGGGGCGGGGGGGGCGACGTAGCTGCTTCGCTGGCTGAGAGAGAGAGTGTGTGTGTGTGTGTGTGCTGAGGAGTAGTGCTTTCTAACGCCAGAGTGCTAACCCATCTATCGCGATATTTATTTCCCCCTTTCCCGCCTTTTCCCCTTCCCCCCCTACACATACACATACACACACACACGTCAGATCTTCTCTCTGGAGGCCGCCCTGTCCGGACTGGGTCCCTGGCCCGCCCTGGCTGCCGCAGCCGGGGACATCTTCGCGGGCCGGACCACCACCACCACCTCCATCACCACCAACTCGGCATCGCGGGGCGGGGGTGCCGGGGGGGGTGCCGGTGCTTCCAACCCGCCTTCGCAGGCAGTTTGTGTTGAGGCGGTTGAGCTGTTGGCGGATGAGGACTTCAGTCGGGTGCTGGAGCCCACGGACCTGGGGCCCCCGCCCTCCGCGGAACTTGGCAGGGAGCTCATGTGGGTGGCGGGGGGGGGAGGGGGCCCCGAGTAGGTAGTCAGCCCGGTGGGGGGGCCCGTGTGGCACCGCGTCTTGCTTGCCCTGAACCCCCACCCCTCTTCCCAGGGAGGCACCGCGGGGGGGGGCGCCCGTGCTGGCGACGTGTGTGTTTTAGTGGCCGTGTGCAGCGGACTTCCGTGCCTGGATTCGTACAGTGATGGGCGGCACCAGGTCATGTCATGTCCGGGGGTTTTTCCCCCCCGTCTCCCCCCCACCCCGCTTCACGGGTCAGTGACTTGTTACAGATATTCCTGATGCGGTGCACATCTGTGTGTATAGTCCTGTGTAGGGGTATCCGGCTATCTCTGGTATCTGCTTCACCACTCGTCACTGGTTCGTCCTTTCCTCCCCCCCTCATTTCCCCCCGCCCCCCAAAACACACACACACACGCTCACAGATCCGACATGTTGGAGCTCAACGATGCGCTCAACGGCGTCGGATTGCCCCAGCTACCCCAGCTACCCGGCAGGGGGCCCCCCAGCTTGGGGGAGAGGGTGTCGTGTGCCGTACTAACCGTCATCATGGAGGGCTTCCTCTCACTGATAGCCCCGCACCTGCACGAGGAGACCGCCGCCATTGCCCTGGGTGCGGTGCGGGGGGGGGGCGGGGGGGGGGGCCGGGGGAATGAGGGGGTTGCGTGTGTTGGCGGAGGGGGTGAGGATGTGAAGTGGCCCACCCCGGGGTTGAATAGGGGCCGGGCACATGTTCTTAGGGGGAGGTGGGGGGAAGGAGGGGGGAGGGGGACAAAGCACCCCTAAAGTCTGGAGTTTGCGCTTCGTACATTCCGTACATATGTACCTGCGGTTGCCGTACCCTACCAAACCCCGCCTCTCTCGTAGGTTACGGTCCCGCCCTGCTCGTCCATGGCGGTTGGACGAGCTCGGGTCGGGGCGTGCTGACCCCCTGGGTTTTGCGGCTGCTGGGATTGGTGCCCACGGAAGTTCTGCAGGAGCAGGTGCGTGTCTGTGAGACTCTCTTGACATACATGAATGTCTGTCTGGGTTGTGGGGGAAAATTTAGGACGGGGGGCCTTCACGGTCACTTTTGGGTCCGATGTCGTGCGAATATGTGAAACCTGCAGCGAGGCATCATCGTGTACGGCATATGGCGTCGTACGGAGTAGCTAGCCCTGATCCCCCCACATCACCCTAGTGAGATGCCTACATTTCCGTACACCACTGTCTCACCGCCGTGGTGGGTCGCAGGTCCTGGGTGTGGTTCCGGAGCAGTCTGGTTCCACTGCTGCGGCTGCTGGCGGGGGCGGTGGTGGTGTTGGTGGTTGGCCTGTACGGCTGGTGAGTCACCGTGTGTGCTGGCTGCTGCGGCAGCTGCACCGGCGGGCGGTGGAGGCCCCGGGGGGCAGTAACGACAACAACAGCAAGAGGGCGGCCGGAGGCCCCGGAGGGCAGCAGCAGCAGCAGGAGCGGGAAGGGGGCGAGGGGGCGAGGGGCAGTAGCGGCACTGGTGGCGGCAGTAGTGGTGCTGCTACTGCTGCAGCTGCTGCTACTGCTGCCGCTCACTGGTCGGCCATTGTGTTTTGCGAGCGCAAGGTGGGCGGGTGGTTAGGGGGAGGGTCGAGGGGTAGGTTGTTCTAAAGGGCGCAGCACCCCAGCCGCCGCGGGTTCAGGTCGCCTTCATGGTCCTCCCCCCCTCACTACTTGCCCGCATGAGGCATGAGGGCTGTGCTGGGGGTACCCGGTGGGATTTGGAGAGCTGCCGGCGTGTGTATGTATGTATATATGTATATATGTATGTATGTATATATGTATACTATGTGGTGTGGTGCGGTGTTTGTAAGGAGGCGGACATGTGGCCTAATTAAGATACCAACCGCCCGGGTCGTACACAAGGAGGGGCTGTGGGATATTTGGGACGTGTTCGCGTTTGACTTGCTGCCCCCCTTTGCAAACCACATGATTGGGGCAGCCAACCACCACCCC